CTCTCCATAAATTGGTAAAGCAGCGAAAAAGACAAAAAAGAAACAATAATTAACAATGGTAGATGTCATGGTAAAAGTAAAAACGCTTAGGCGCAAAAATAGAATTTTTACATCATGGATGAAAAAAGTTTACGGAAAAAAAGTTTAATTTTTAGCTAATTTCATAATTCGTGTTCACTCTCGCATCTGTGAAGTAAAATAAATGCGCTAATTTAAACTAAACTTTTAAAAATTATTTTTGAATTTTCTGTAGCCATTTTATTAAAAACACAAAATTTAGTAGTTTTAGAATTACGAGTTTTTTCAAAGTTTTGTGATTTTTTTTATAAAAAAACTACAAAAAAATAATATTATTTATTTAAATATTATAACGTTTTCAAGCAATTTACACTGATAAAATAGACAATATGACAACAATAATGCAATATTTACGACATAAATAAACACTTTAAAAACTTTTTTGAATTTAATATGTTTAATATTAAAAACTAAGTGCTAAAATTTGTGTTTTATAATTTTAAAAATTTCAAAAATTATGTAATTATTTATAAAATAGTATACAATGCACGAGTATCACAATGAGAGGTTATAACACGTGTCTTTTATACTATTTTTTCTATTGTGCTTATTGTGAGACCAAAATAGAAAAATACTGTTTCGTTTAAATTCTATACAGGGTGTCCAACGAGTAATAAAGAGCCTAAAATTTTTTTGAAGCAACCAACATTACATTTCAAAGATAATGTGAATATTAAAGTATTTAATAAATTAAACATAGTGACCACATAGCAAATCATCTTTAAAACCAAATGCTTATCTTCAGGTTATCTTCGAAATGTAATGTTGGTTGCTAAAAAAAAATTCTAATAATGAGCCTAAATTTTTTTGAAATAACTAACATTAAAGTCTGTTTTTTTTTTTTAATGGAAATTACCAAGTCAAAATTTTGGTGAAAAAATTGGTAGCAGCTTGTCTCCATAGCCACAAATTTTGTTTGCTCTTTGTTTTTGTCCCTAGAAATTTTGTTAAAAAATTATGGTTATGTATTCAAATTGAGATGTTGTCAAAATTTTGACTTTTATAAATCTTGTGTACCTAAGGACAGACATCATTACCTAAGGTTTAAAGACAGAATTCAGTGCTAATAATTTTGACAGAAACACACCGCAAGTAAGTACATTGTTGTGGATAAAAATAAGATTCTTGCTACAAAAACTTTGAAGAAAAAGTATGTATATACAGAAAAAAGATACAAGTGGGTATTATGATGACTGGCAATAAATTTTGTGTAATTTATTAAAATGAGATCAAAGTTGATGCATTTAATAAATTCTTCTTCAGCATTAGTTTCAAAATTGTTACTTTTTCAACTCGTTCTTCAAAAACGATGCACAAGACACTAATTTAATTGCTTTTTTTCCGAGGTTCTTTTTCATTCATGTTTATTTTGAGTTCTTGTCAATTTCTTGCTAAAAATTGAGAATGTTTAGCAAACCTGCAACACAAATTGCGTTTACATTTTAACGGGTCCTTTTTCTAACTTTCTGCTTGCGAACCATTCGTTTCCAAATTTCTAAAAACTGTTAGCACTACCGAATTTGCTCCTTCTTTGGTGTTTCGTCTCTAAACTTTCATAGACGATTTTTTGTGTTGACGTTTAATGACATTGTTTTCAAATTAATTCAAAAAACCGGAACTGCCAACTTCTTTTATTAAAATTACCATGAATGAATTTACTAGTGATGCCAACGTTAAGACTGTTTGGCATTTCCATTAAAAAAAACAGACTTTACGTTCAAAGATTATCTTCAAAATGTAATGTTGATTGCTAAAAAAGAATTTCTCATGGGACACTCTGTATATTCATAACTCATGCTGCACTCTGTTGAAATAGTGCTTAAATTTATAATTTTGAGAGAATATAACCCACAAAAAATAAAATATTAAAAAAAAATGGTTCAATAATATCTTCCAAATCCCACACTTATCCTCCCAGTCCCCTCCCATCTGTCAGCTGCCAACATTATTGACGAAATAATGATAAACGATGAAAAAGCGGTCAAACTTTATCCCCATCAGAGTGCTTTCATGTCTTCAGCCGCCCATCGACCCATAACAAAGCGGCGTCAGAGCCGTAATTACCACTCGGTCTCGAGTATGCAAATCAGACGATGGTCTAATGAAACGGAAAGTGTATTTAATTTGTTTACATCTAGTAACGCTAGACAGACAAACGCAGGGGCGGTAACCTAAACACATGAAAATATATTTTGTAGGAGGCGCCCGACTGCATTCTGCGATTAGCTAAAAATACATTTTACTATCGGCCATTTTTTATATTTTTTTTCGAAAAATTCAAGGTCTAGTTGTAGGTGTCCAATAATAACGGTGCAATGACCCACCGGAAGCTCCTTATCCGTTTCCGTTCATCTCCGAAATACGCCTACTTTGCGTCTAATTCGCCAATTCGGGGAAGTACAGATTCACGACATCTACCCGCCGGTAGCGACAACTCTGTGCAACACACTGTCGTAAACGGGTTTGAAACCCGGCTCTGTTTCAAAATTCTGGTCCAATTAAGTGATACGGTGCAGCAAAGATGTTATCAATGACAACAATGAAAACGTGTTCTGTTGCACTTTCCAAGTTCATTTAAATAAAACTAAACGTAGTAAAACCCGATTCTGAGTGTTTGTGATACGGTTTGTGGGTGAGTGTCCTCACAATTATTTAATTTGTTAATTTAATTATCACATTTCATTCATAATAGCCTGTAAAAGTCGAGTCTGATCTGGGATGCATCAATTGAGAGGCAATTAATTTTTTAATTTTTTTTTTTTTTGAAGTAAATTAAATAATTTATATATTCGAATACTGTTGCTTCGTCAAATATGTTTATTTAAATTTGAAGACACACGTGTGTATTTTTTCAGGTAATTCAATGTTTGCTCGTGATAAATTTCGTAACCCTTTTAAAGGGATAATTTAACGGTAAACTGAACACAAATACAGGATAATAAATTAAAAGTGTGGGAAAGTGAGGAGCGCCACAAAGAATGAGTTTTATCTTTGCTGTGTGGCAATTTTTCAGTTTTAAAAAAACGAAATTCTGAAGTTATGTCAGAATTCTGAGTTCAAAAGTCAGTAACTAACCTTAACTGTAAGCCTCTGTCTTCGTAAAATTCTGTTTGAAATTCCTAAAATTGATGTTAGTGAGTTTTATTATTTTAATATTGGCGTTTTTGATTTAAAACACTACAGAATGTTGAATTTTAAGTCTGAAACTAAGAAGTTGAGAAACAAGCTCATTTTTTAAGATTTTGAATCTTAATCTTAATCTTATTCGTATTTTATCGAAATCTAAAAATTCATATCTTCTTGCACTCTTTTCTGTATTTAATAATGGACCGATTTTTTTACTTATGTATTATATAAAAATACCGACTTTTTTCTAATCAGAAATATTTACAAAGTTGTCAAAAAATGTGGAAACAGCTTAATATTTCAAAAAGTGACTATTTAATTGGACTAAAATTTAGTACATAATCAAAAATATTTAAAATTCATCACATGAAGTATTTTGAAATTTATAAGTACTCTCATTTCGATTCTCCCAATTCAAAATTTACAGTTTTGAGAAAACTTGCATTCAATCTTTGATTGTTAATAAAAAAAATAAAATAAGAAAAATAAATAAAAGTCAAGGAACTGATTTATTAAACAATGAAATGATATTTCATTGAAAATTACTGAGTGTCTAAGCTCTGGTAATAATATTGTTTATTACAAAAAAATTCTCATTGTTTTTGTATACATAAACCATCGTAACTCAAAGCCAATTTTTATGAGTTCTATAGTTTTCGTTGAGAGAGTCGATTTGTTTTTAAGTTGATTTTTTTCAAACAGCAAATTTAATTTATGTTGGAAGAATTTTTTTCTTAATTTAGTGATATAGGATATAAAAAATTGTAAACTTGGGGAAAAACACTTTTTTTCCTACAAAAGATGTTCTACCTCTTGAAAGTAATGGAAAAAATTGTTAAAATTGTTCGTAATAAAAATATTAGTAAATTATTAGTTGTTTTCATATTCTCTGGCAACCCTGTATACGGTAACTGTGATCCTATATTTTAATACTTTTTTAAAAAAGAAATTATTTGGTATAATAATCTGGAAGTTTTGTAAACGGTTATTAACATAAAAAATGTAAAATTTTAAACTTTAAAAAAATAAAAAATAATAATCTAGCTTTATGCCTTACAAAAAATTTTAATTCACTTTGCTTGTGGCTCTATCATGAATTCGTAAAGTGTGACAAATAAAGCTTAGTGCTCGAAACTGTGTTTTTATATTCACTTGTGTCTTATTTTTTTTCTCTTTCAAAGTGCTCCTAGTTTAGGTAAAATTAATTAAAAGAATTTTCATTACGTAGAAAAATATATTGGAAAAACCAAGTACCGGTATAAAAGTGGATGAAATTTTCTCAATTTTGAGTTTTACAGTAGAAATGCTGTACCAGTTTTTACCATCAATGATCAAAAACCTGCAGTAATTACCTTGAAACTATTATGCAGCAAGTGCAAAAACAAGTTAATTAATTGAATTAATCAGATGATTTAATTTGAGCATTTTATGACATTAACTGTTGATTCTAGTTTATTATGCATTCTGCGACAAATGGCAATATTTTTCACGCCCAAACCAAAAATAAAGAAAGTTTCTTATACCAGATGATATCTCTTCTTCGAATTAAACACTTGACAAACAAAATTGTAAACAGCGCAATTACAGCAAGAAGTTAACACCATCGAAAAGCGCAATAAAATGACACTTAACATCAAATCACGTTTCCATAAATATCGTAAAATTAACCCATTTCTGGTCCCAATGTTCCAATGAACTCTTGATAAGTGGTAACCAGAACCACCTCATGTTCCGGATTTATTCTCAACGACGATAAAGCTCAGTTGAGTTATCAGTCGCGTATTTGTCGATATTTTATGTTCCGTGACTTTGGCGCGAATATAAATAAGCTTGGTGTACGATTAGAAAGGCATTTTAAGCACATGTGTACTGGCTAGAAGATCAGGTGTTTAGTGCGGCTTGGACTTAATTACCGTTCTGTGGACTACTGTGCTATTGTGCCCGAATTTGAGGTAATTTCCTAAAAAAAAAATAATTTTGAAAAAAATTTTTGCTTGGGTCAATCGTTCAATTATTCGGATCAGTGCTCTATTAATTGCCTTGCCAGTGTATAATTTAATTCTCCATAAGACCGAAATGATCTCATCGAATTCTTGCCTGGGTACATGAACCTGGCCCTAGTTCGTCTGATGATCACCTTATGATGTCATGAAATTATCGACAATTCAATGAACTGATGTTTTTGCAAGATTTGTTTTCGAAAATGACCTCGAACTTGATTTTTTTTTCATCGTGTACACAAGGTTGATCACCCGTTTGACATTTACAAAAATCATTTACAAAATTCAAGAAGATGATTTTTTTTTTCATTCAAGTGTGGAAAATTTTTGTCACCTTGTAATTATTCAAAAGTCGCGGTAAAACCCGTTAAACCACAAAAACTAATGTTAGGATTGCCAGGTGTGTGTACCTTGGCCGAAAACAAAGCGCCCTTCGATATTGTTTGGTTTGTGGTTATACATATTATCTGTGAAAAACATTTCTGCAATGTTGATTTTAAATCGAGGTCTTGGCGAGACACGGAGAGATGATTATCTTTGTTTATCATAATGCGTTTTCTCGGAGAAAAAATCAGGATTTTTTTTGTTCTTGACCAATAAAATTGAAAAGCTGGGGTTCGAATCTGGGACCCACCAACTTTTTTTCTTTGTTTGCGCTACTAAGAAAAATTGTAAATAATGTGCTCTTTGTAATTCAAGTTTATTGATCATTTTTACGGTTTACTACCGAATTCACTTACAAAAACCTAAGAAATTCATAATTTTTCAAAGTAGACCTAATACAGTTTTATGCACTTTAATGTGTTTTTAGGACTTCTAGAAATGTTAAAAACGTTATTTGGTTTAATTTTTAGGTTGTCAATTTTGTCGAGATTTTTGTTGATTTTTGGTACCCGCACCACTCTATTGCCAATAAATAAAATAAATTGGTGATAGGTCCTTGTGTTTGGTACTGTGGGCAGGCACTTTTAATTTCATATTATATTAAAAAAGGACACTGTCATACCAGGTGAATAAAAAGAATTAACCAAACGTTTTTTGCTTAAACTATTTATTTTTTTGGAAAAGCTAGTGGTGAATGACAAAGTACTATAAAAATGTGACGTTTATCAAAAATATTTTTTTTTTATTTTCTTTAGGTTTTGAGTTCTGTAATTTTTTTATTTTTTTAAATGGCAACTCACTGTAAAGCCATTTTTCTTATGAACTTTCTACTTTATATTTAATTTTTATCATTTTTTTTTATAAAAGTTGCCATTTTGACAAAACAAATCGCATAACTCAAAAACAAAACAAAATTTAATTCTCAAAATACCATCACATTTTTTATATTATTTTAATTTATGTTAATTATTATTACTCGAGGCAAATAATGAAAAAAAAACGCTTATTCCATGCTTTATATACCCTGTATGTTAAATAAATAGTTACCGGGAAAATTGTTGATAAAATCAAAAATATCCAAAATATAAATTCCACTATAACTTCTAAACTATTGCGAATTTTGCAGTTTTCTGCAAAATTACCAATTTTTTAAGCTCTAGTCTAATAGATTCATATAAAATTTTAATAATTTTCAATTTTTGTGTTTCTACGACGTTTTATGCACTTTTACTCTTTAAAGTACATTATTTCAATCAGTTTTGAAGTTTTCAATTATTAGATTTTTGACAGAATTTAGGGCGATTTTTGGTACTCGGAGCTGTCTATTGCTAATAACTTCAGAATTCTTGGCGCTAACTTATTGTGTTTGGCGCCGTTAAAAAGCACATTTAATTTTCTATCATATAAAAAAAGATCATTGCCTTATGATAATTACTTATCGAGAAAATTGTTGATAAAGTTACAAATATCCAAAATATAAATTCGACTAACTTCTAAACTATTGCAAATTTTGCGGTTTTGTCGTCGCTAATCAACTTTGCAGAACATTTTGCGTATGTATAAATAAACTATTAACTATTTAGAATATATCTTTAATTTACAAAAAAAGAAAAGGTATAAAATTTTTAACACGTTTTGAAAGATTTTCTCAAAAACTATCGCTCTTAGAGCAAAAAGGAAGAACCTAAACATTAGAATTTACTTTAAATTGTCTATATATTTAATGGTGCAAACCGAAGTCGCCAAAAAATTAATTGATCAGAATTGGATATACAGGTGCGCCAGAACTCGCGCTTCAGAAAAAATGCCAAAAAAGGTAAGATACCAGGAACATGGAAAAAATGTTAAAAAAATTTTATCTATAAAAATTTATGAGGGTTTAAATTTTGCAATTTGACTCTATTTACTTCTGTTGGAAAAATAATTTTCCAAGTTTTTTTTGCTACAGGCTATTAGAAGAGGAAGAGGAAGCTGTATTCTAAATTGTAACTTTGTTTAATGTTATTTCTGGCTTTTATTGGCAAAATTTTTGTACCTTTACTAAATAATTGTAAAAAAACATATACAAGATCATCAGCATCATTAAATTAGACATGAAAAATGTCAAATGTCAAAAAATATGTCAAATTTTTTTGACAGATAGAATTTTTTCCATGTTCCTGGTATATTATCATACTTGAAATTTTTCTCTGGGGCGCGAGTTCTGGCGCACTGTAGATATAGTGCTTCCATAGTTTTTTTTAATTTTTCAATTCCATATTTAATCAAAAAATTTATATTTTTTAACTCCATACTATTATTAAACAACAAAAAAATCATATAAATTAACAAAAGAAGAAAAACAATGTTTTTAATCATAATTTTTTCAGAGACCACGAAATGGCCACCAAACTCCTCATTCTCTCCCTCCTCATCCACGTCAAATCCGAAATCCACCAGGGCGGCATCCTCTACCCCCGTCCCTCCGAAACCCGACAAGTGGTCTCTTTAGACGGCCTTTGGAACTTTGTGGTACCAAAACCCAACAACCCTCTACAAGGCTTCGACGAGCACTGGTACAAAAAAAATCTCAAAGATTTAGACACCGAAGTCTACATAATGCCAGTACCAAGTAGCTACAACGACATAACCACCAACTGGAAAATTCGGGACCATGTGGGACTGGTTTGGTACGATCGCAAATTTTTCGTACCAAAATCTTGGTACCAAATCGGGAGAGTTTGGTTAAGGTTTGGGTCAGTTTCGTATGCTTCTCAAGTGGTAAGTGAGCAAATTTTGGCACAATTTTCCACTACTAGGGGTTTTAGTGGATCAATGGCCAACTGGTGATGAGCCACGAAATCGGTCATTTGCCATTTCTGGCCGAAGTTACAAACTTTCTCAAATATGGGAAAGAAAACTTGATTACTGTAGCTTGTGACAACACACTTTTATCGGATACAGTGCCTCAAGGCAAAGTCGAGGAAATCGAAAGTGGGAGATTAGTACAAAGTTACTCTTTCGATTTTTTCAATTATGCGGGAATTGACCGTCCTGTAACCCTCTACACCACACCAAAGAATTACATTGATGACATTACAATTATTACGGACGTAGACGGCGATGTTGGTTTTGTAGATTACAAAATAAATTACTTTAGTGAGGTTAATGTAACGTCCAGAGTGACTCTTATTGACAAAAAAGGGACAATCGTGGCCACTAGTGACGACTATGGTGAGCCTTATGGCATTATGGAAGTCCCAAAAGCCAACCTTTGGTGGCCTTATCTAATGGACCCAAACCCGGGTTATTTGTACACGCTTCAAGTCGAGCTTTTGAGCGAGTATGGCGACCTGATCGATAAGTACTCACAACCGATTGGTATTCGGTCAATTTCGTGGACAAACACATCGCTTTTGATCAATAACCAGCCCGTATATTTGCACGGGTTTGGCCGCCATGAGGACGCGGATATAAGAGGCCGAGGTTTGGACTTGCCTTTGATCATAAGGGACTACAATTTGATCAAGTGGATTGGTGCAAATGCGTATAGGACGTCCCATTATCCCTACGCTGAGGAAATTATGGACTTGGCCGATGAATTGGGGATTATGATCATTGATGAGTGTCCTAGTGTCAATACTGAACTATTTTTCGATTCGTTGCTAGTCAAACACAAAAATTCGATCACGGAATTGATCAAAAGGGACAAAAATCGGCCGAGTGTGATCATGTGGTCGGCCGCGAATGAGCCAAGGACGCAATACCTCCTCGCCAAAAACTACTTCAAGGAAGTTATCGATCATATCAAAAGTATGGACGTCACGAGGCCTACTACGATCGTGGAAGCTCAACCAGTCAACAGCGTTTATTCGGTAATTACCCGATTTTTTACAAATCTCCCTTGATTATTAAATTTCAGTCAGAATTCGTCGATATTGTTAGTTTTAATCGCTACAACGGTTGGTATTCAAACGGCGGTAATTTGGACGTGATTCCCTTCAATGTTGTCTCTGAAGCCACCGCTTGGCACGAGAAATTCAACAAACCCGTAATAATGCAAGAATACGGCGGAGATACCCTCGAAGGCCTCCACATTGTACGTCGCTGTTTAAATATTTATCAAGTCTTATCAACATTTTTCAGAGTCCGAGTTTTATTTGGTCGGAGGAGTACCAAGTCGAGTTGATGTCGCGCCATTTCCAGGCGTTTGACGAGTTGAGAGAAAAAGGGTTTTTTGTTGGCGAGTTTATCTGGAATTTTGCCGATTTTAAAACTGCTCAAAGTAACTGGTTTTTGGTTTTGATTCGTTGTTTTAATTTTGGGTTTCAGCATACACGCGAGTTGGTGGTAACAAGAAAGGGATTTTCACGCGGAATCGCCAACCCAAATCCAGTGCCCATCATTTGAGGAAAAGGTACTGGGCCTTGGCTTGTCAGCTCTACAATGCCACTTTACCCAATGATCTCTATAACTACGTAGCTAGACCTACTATACATGATGAATTGTGATGTGTTCTAATAAAAATATTAAAAAAGTGTATTTGTTTATTGCCAGCGAACGGTCAAGGTTGGAGGCGCATGAAGATGTCGTTTTTTGCACAAAACAAATAATTTATTGATTCGTTGTAATTATTTCTTATTGCTACGTACGTAACAGACTTTCTCTTGACCGTTTGACATAATCATTTTGACTTTTTCGGTTTTTTCTGCAATTATTTATTAATGGTAGGTGTATCCGGGATTGCGGTAATCGCATGATCATCAACGAACTTGAAAAAATTATTTTCGTCTTTTTTGCCACAAGACTTGAAAATGTAATCAACTAATCAGTTTGTTTTAAGTAATTTCCACTGCGTTATCATTTATCACGTTTGACAACTACATTAGTACTTTTGTTAATGATAAGATCGGCAGAAATATTTACCTCATTCCATAATTTACTTATATGAAATAAGGAAGTAGACAATAATAAATTTTAATTTAAATTGGATCCGCTTTACTGTGGCAGTTCTGGTAAAAACTGCTTAATAGAGGTGTTTATTTAGCTAAATCATTGTTTTGTTTTGACTTTAACTTTTATCATATCAATGATGATAATAATCGGCAACACAATCTGAATAGTTTGCAAAGTGATACTAAACAAAATCAATAAACAGGAGACTTCTGAAAAGAACAGTCTTGGTGAAACTATAAGTAAGTAAAAATCTCAAGTTTATACTTAAGTCAGTTAATTTCAATTTTAGAAAATGACACTGGTTTTAATTGCATTTCCGGTGCTCATTTCCTTTTTGGGTAAGGTTGAATCGGCTGGAATTCTCTATCCACGGGCTTCCGAAACTCGTGATTTGATCAGTTTGGACGGTTTGTGGAATTTTGCACTAACCAACACTACTGACCCTTTAAGGGGACACATTGAAAAATGGTTTCAAGTCAATTTGAATACAATTGATGAACTTGATATTCAGACAATGCCGGTACCTGCTAGTTACAATGACATTGGTACCGACACCAGTCTCAGAGATCACGTGGGACCTGTTTGGTACCAAAGAAATTTTTTTGTACCAAAAGCATGGAACGGGGAAAAGGTTTGGATTCGGTTTTCTTCAGTGTGTCGAGCGGCTGAAGTTGTAAGTTAGAAAACTACTCCATGACTATAAAAAATACGAATTTTCGTCCTAGTGGATTAATGATGAATGGGTTGT